TACTTAATTCTTAGAGAGTCTTCAGACTAGAATAGTCTTTAAATAAGTCATTGTCTTTTCTTAACAGTCTTGGAGATGCGATTCTCTTTCTGAGTTGGGTGAAGGAGTTGCTTAAGCATTGTCAAAATAACTAATTATTTTCCCAATTATTATAAATATTCTATACTTACATGGCTTCTTGTAGTTAGCAACCAGTTAGCATGGTTATTAGATTCCAAGTTGGTACATACTGCTTTTTATTATTTATATATCATTAGAAGCTATGATACAAAATATTTGCAAATACACCTCTACCCCGATATAACGCTGTCCTCGGGAGCCAAAAAATCTTACCGCGTTATAGTGAAACCGCGTTATATCGAACTTGCTTTGATCTGCTGGAGTGCGCAGCCCCGCCCCCTCAGAGCACTGCTTTACCGCGTTATATTCGAATTCATGTTATATCGGGTCGCATTATATCGGGATAGAGGTGTATACATTTCAAAATAAGCTTAGCCATTTAAGTATTTAAGAAATAAAAAAAGAGGGTTGTACCAAATGAGTTAGGGCTTGTCTTCATGATGTGTGGACCTGCACTAGAGGGATATAAATTCAAGTTTGCACTAGTGTGTTGCACAGTAATTGGCCTGTGTGGATCTGCTGGCGTGCACTAAATGGTCCCTAGTGCACGTTAACGTAGTCCCATTTCAAACAGTGCTACATTAAAGCACACCAGGAAATTTTAGTGTGTACTAGAATTCACAGCCCTCTATTGCACCACTCACTGTGTAGGCAAGCCTCAGCTAAGAGGAACCAACATTTTCAACCATAATTGTTTTCTTAATTTGAAGAATGAAAACTTTAGAGTGTTTGTAAAATAAATGTATTTCAATATGAATTTTGTGGGTGTTTTAACTGATGCTTTTTCTTGCAAAACGGAGGAGGGTCTAAAGAAAAAGCCCACTTCTGTGTCTTAGTTTATAGCTCTGATAACACATCCCTATATTTCTCTTTAGAATAACCTGAACAAAAAAAATCTTTTTTTTTACGCTACCAGGTCTTTCTCTAAAACATAAAACTCTTTAAAAAATTTGTTTTCTTGAGACAAAGATCATGTCTAAACCAGACTAGTGGGTCTTGTAGAAAGGGAAGTGTCCTGTTCTTTGAGAATATGCTCTTTTGCCCTTTGACCAAAATTGCCCTTGGATTTATAACCTGCCATTTATGGCATTTACAACTTGCAATTAAAATTTCTATTAAATATCTTATGCGAAGCACAAATTGCAATAACAGTACATCTTTTACAACATAATGTTAAAGTATAACATTAAAACAAAATAGGAGATATAAAAGCTGTATTCTTCTTTGTATGGCTGATGTAAATGTAGAGCAACAACTATAATTTTACATTTAGATGGTTAAGCCAGATAATTGTGTCTGGAATAGCAGAGTCTATTGCTGTGATGTCCCCTTCATATTTGTGAATCGGGCATTGAGTTGTTATATGTTCCATGGTCTGTTCTGGGTGATCACAGTCGCATACTGGAGACTCTTTAATTTTCCATTTGTACAGCAAGTATCCGCATCTGTCATAGTTTGTGCCGATACAGTTTAGGGCCCATGAGCTTCATGGGAGATCAAAGCCAGGGATCTTCTGCATCAGCTCTTTCATGAGGTGTTTATATGTGACTTCTTGTGAACTCCATTCAGCTTTCCAGGCTTCATCAGGGTTGAAGTTGCATTGTTGAAGGTTAAATGTGTGGGCCCAAAAGGGTTTACGCGACTTCAGGTGGCGGTGATGGACGTTGTTAAGGCCCTGGTGGATGGGAAGATGTTCATTTTCCATGATCCTCTGGAATTCCCAAAGGGTTGCGGCATCACGTCGAATGGAAGGGGGAGGAATGTGCAACAGCATTGGCAGCCAAGATGTTGAGGTCAAATTGAGGGTTCCAGTGATGCACCACATTGCAGAATTTAGTTGGATATCAACAAGTCAATTATGGCTACTTCCGGTCCATAACTGTGCACAGTACTCAATTACAGAGTATATAAGCCTCATCGCTGATGTCCATAACACTGGGATGCTGATGCTTTTAAACTTGTTCTTGCCAGTTTCTGGACTGTGTTGACCCTTGTCTTCATCTTGACAGCTATCTTCTTCAGATGGTTGTGGAAGGTTAGTGTGCAATCCAACTTTAGTCTGAGTTAGGTTGGAGTGGTATCATGTCGCACAGTGTTGCCAAAGGTAACTTTCAGGGTGCGCTTAGCATTCTTGTTATCAAGATGGAATGAAGTGACTGTTGTTTTGTGAGGATTTGGCTTGAGCCTCCATTTCCAGAAATATTCCTCCCTGGTTTGTAGGTCCCTGTTCAGGGTGGACTTGATGTCACAAAAGGTGGCTGCTTGTGTTGCCAGGGCAAGGTCATCCACATATTCAAATTTGCTTGGAGGCATGTCACTCTTGTAAACATTGAAAAGCATCAGCGTGAGTACTGAGCCTTGTGGCAGTCCATTGTTGAGGAACCAGAGCGAACTGACTTCATTGCCCAGGTGGACACGTAGCCACCTATTGCTCAGCATCGTCCATAGTAGGTGTAGTGTGTTGTGGCAAGGGATGATCCTTGTGAGCTTTAGCATCAGGCTTTTAATCCAGACTCTATTGTGGGCCAATGACAGGTCTACAAAGTCTGTGCTGATCTTAAATTTCTTCTGGAATCAGGCCTTAGTATGTGTTACAATGGCCAAAACATGGTCGCAACAGCAGCATTTAGGCCGGAATCCCACTTGTTCTTTGGGGATTACTGACTTGACAAGAAGATTGATTCTCTGGAGAATATGTTCCAGGAGTTTGTAGGTAATTCCTCCCATGCTGTCAAACAAGTACTTTAGTTAGTTAACACCTGCAATATACAATGTGCTACTTTTGATTGATTTGTGCCTTGTTACACTATGAACTTTCTGAAAACTTAATTTCATTAACCATGTGACCATGAATAAATGTGTAATTTCATAGCTCAGAGCTTTTTCCTTACTTGTGTAAAATGCAACTGAAAAACTATAGTCACAAAGAACTATTTTGAATTGTGCTGGTACTTGGGAGTTTTCCTTTCAATTACTCAGTGTAGATTGCTGATACATCTTAACCAGTCCTAGTATATAATGTTTGTATTGGACTTAAACTCCACTGGCTCAAGGAGTAAGGAATCCAGAGGTTCTTTCTATATGTGCTTCTTTTTAAATGAGTTGGCCCATAAATGGTTTTATTTCCAGTACTAGTTTATTGTAGGAAAAACTACGTTAGCTTAGGTGTACAGAATAAGTAAAATACTTAGTTTCAGGATAGGTCATTTAAACAGCTACTATTCCATGGTAGTAAAGAAAAGTCAAATTCCTAGCCATTCTTTTTGAACAGCCTACTTGTAAATCTCAGTTGCCAGTTGAGTTGACTATCTAAAACAGCTTTATATTTTGAATCCTATACATAGTGTTCTCAGTTCGTAAAAATCTACAATGACAAGACCAATGGTTAGAGTAAGGAACATGCAGCTACCACTTACACCTATGCAACTGTTCTTTCAATTGTTTTTATGCCATTGCAGAAACTCTTTGACAAATTGTCATTCCTGAGAAACAAGTCCATTCCTGAGAAAGCTCTTTCAACCCAGCTCACACCAAAAAAATGCTTATTGTCAGTTACATTGAGCAGTACTAAAGGAAAAAGATATAATTTTCAGTTTCTTCAACTTGTAGTAATCAACTAATTTTGACAAATGGTACTTTCCAAACAAATAAAATGTTAGGTCCTTAATCCAAAGTGCTTAGATTTAACATAGCAAAAACAAAAGCAGTATGGAGGGGATGTGAGAGGATGAAGGTTACAACAATGAAAGTTCATGAGACTAGTTGAATTTTGTATGTACATCCCTAGTTCTTAGGATTTTTTAAATATAAATTAATATACTACATTGATGTACATTTTAAAGAATGAAGACCAGGGTAGGAGATTTAAAAATATATATATTTTAAAAAATCACTCGGGACACTAGTGAGTGAAACGTTGTTCCACATATATATTACTTCATTTTTATAAGACTACTTTGTGCTATTGTATGGGCTCATAATCCACACGGGACCAACTATGAAATTTATGCATTATGGTGTGACAGATAAATAACAGAGGCCAAGATCATACCCTCGCATGTTAAAACCAAAAGGAGAAGTCGCTATGGAAGAAAATCTCCATGGGGATGCTTCTGCAGAGTTCTCCTTTTGGGGGGAGAACAGGGTTTACCTATCATGAAAATGACAGAACCCTAAACTTGGCAGAATCCCAAGGATCTTTGTGCTTTCCTACACCTTTGCATTGACTTTAACTCTGATGTATCCCTGGTAGCCTGGCTCATCACACTACCAGTGCCTCCCTCTGACCATAGTGCCCCCAGGTGGAGTGGATTCATCAGAAGTAATACAGCCTGGAGAGTGTACTACGTTCTTTGGAGATTCCACATTGGGTATAGGAGAGATGATGTGCATCTCTTCTGCATCCTCCCTCAGTATAGCCCCTATATCTGGTGAGACTTCTGAAGGGAAAGATGCTTCTGTGAAGGTGACTGAGGCCTAATTTCTAAATAATATGAGGGAGAGCTTCACACAGAAGGTTCCCTCTGTGTGTTGATCTAGGGCACATGATCTGGATCAGGTAATTTAGCTAAACAGATTCCTGAGCAAATAATTAATTGTTTCCCTGTATCTCTAAATAAAGTCTGTCTATAAAGTGGAATAAAACTGCGAGTCTCTGTGTGTAAACTATCATATGTAGTGCCTTATGTATTAACTTGTAAAATAACCCCTAGCTGCAGGCTGTTTTAATGATGAATGCTTTTTCTTTTGGGGGGCCTAGCATAGACCCTCAGCATTACTTTTTTAAGCAATTGAATTGCAAAGTATAGTTTGTCATATTAGTCTGTTTGTATACAGGTTTTCTGCTGTTATAATTTTGGTCTTTTTTGTTGTTCTTTCAGATATGCTTCCTCGGTAAAAGATGGCTCCCAGTATTTTATTCTTCTCATTATTACAGATGGGGTTATTTCAGACATGGCTCAAACAAAGGAATCAATAGTTAACGTAAGTTCTATTTAAACTTGGATTTCTATATTTTATAAGCAGTATATTTCCTGGTCTTAATATTTTGGACTGTAAACTCTCTTCTTTCCGAATAATAAAAATTGCCAGGCATAGAGGCCAAATAAAACTAACTGTGAAATTTTAACCAGCTTTATCAAATCAGTGCTCTGAGGAACTTGTGGTCTTCTAGCTGATACTAATATTGATTGTGCAATCTAGAATTAAGTGACTTCTCAGTCCTCTTTATGTCAGATGGTCTTTGGAATGGATATTCCCCATCTCCATGTCCCTTCTGGTCTTACAATCTATGAAAGAAAACCAGATCTTTACTATAAGCCTGGGCTCAGGATGAACCCTCAGGAAAAACTCCTTTCCAGAATTATTTGCCTCCGAGTGTCATGTACTGCAGACTCCAGGTCTCCTTTTGTAGCATAGCTTTCACATGTTTTTGTAAATATTTTTAACTAAAGTCAGTTTCTTCATTGGTTTTGAAGTTTTTCTTCTCAAAACTGCTAAACTTAAAATTTATTTTGACTTTCTGAGACCTGATGTGTGGGCAAGGTCTAAATCAACGCAGATGAAATTCCCTTTGCTAAGATAAGGGCAGAATAAGTGGCCTGGAACCAGGTGTATGTTTTTCAAAACCCCTCTGCTTCTCCCCCGGACATGGGACACCTATTGCTACAGCTTCCAGAACAAGCAGGAAAGTTTCCGTGGAATCTCCTAAACCTCAGGGCAAGACAAGTTTCCCCCATAGCAACCAGGAGGATGAAATTCCTGCTCTCAGCTAGCACAGAGGCAAGGTATATGCTGAGATGGTTTAAAAGGCCACAGACCAAGCCCCTTCTCACTAGCGGTTTTACCTGCAAGTCCTCATCTGCCTTGAAAGGTGCTAGCTCCTGTGACCTTTCTGAAATTAATAAGTCAGTTGTCTCCAATACCTGCAGCCCACTCCTCATTCTGTGTGACTGATTTGCTATACGTTCAAAAATGCCAAAGATGTGTCTTGGGGGCAACTATGGCTCCATTTGAAAAAAGTATGACAGATTTCTGTTACCAATCTGCCCGAGGCGTCAGGTGATCAGGCTGAGGCCACAGGATCGTTAGGGGAGGAGATGACGGAGCACACCAAGTGACTGAATTTTAAAGCTTTATTAATAAAATAACAATGGAGAGTTCTGGGGGTTCCCCACGTCACTCAGAGGAAGGAAGAAAGCGTTAGTGCCCCAGGCCCTAACCCACTTTCATACTCGCACACGCACTACCCAGGCCTGGCGAAGCCTGGGTGTAATGTACGAAGAAGGGGGGGAAGAGGTGGACGGGAGTTCTGTCCTGTGCACAGGTCGTCCAGGGTCCGCTGTTGATCTCCGATTTGCTTCAGCTCTCAGAAGGGTTTTAAGTCCTGGGGGTCTTTTGGGGGTGTTTTGTTCAGGGACCTCTGTCCCCCTTGCTCTTTGTACCAGTCCAAACCAGCTTTCTGCGGCGTCCTCAGTTTTCCCAAAACATCAGGGACATGGGACTCTGTTTTCGCCCTCGCTGGCCTTCACTGTCTCACCAGTTTTGCAATGCCCTGGCCAGCTGACCCCCCTTTTCCCATGGTTGGTGGGGGTTGGGTAAGAAACAGATGTGGCTGCATAGAGTCTGTTCGAGCACTGTGACCTTGCACTGGAGCCCGCGTCTTATCTTCGGGCTGAGTTGAGAGCTTAAGCATTGAGTTAACCCATTCTCTTCTCCCTTCCTCCCCCTTCGGCCTCTCGCAAACTGCAAAGGAATCTTCCAATCCACACTCATACCTTTAACCCTTTAACCCTTCCCAAAATGGCTTGCGATGCTTGCAACAGCGTTAGCAACATACAATGCTGATCTGCCTCCCCAGGGGACCCCCTGAGGAAGGGGGCCACTGGGTTGTGACAAAAGTGGAATTGCTGTCTAACATCTGATTATCCTTCCAAATATTTTGTTGATAAGCTCTTTGGGGAATACTGAAACAAAGTTGTCACTGACGCTTTGGAGAACGAATTAATCCCTCCCTCCTTCCAGTGAGAGAATCTCCAAAGTACCGTATCTCAGCAGGTGGTTCCATTTGATCCCCCTGTTCCTCCAGGTTCCAGCATAGATTACACAGAAGTTGTACATTGCTGCCTTTCCTGAGAGTTGGAGAGGATGGGATTCTCTCGAAAAACCATCTACCCCCAAAGCATCTCTTGTTTTGGGTTTTCCAAGACTGGAAAGATCCCCCTGCCCAGTCCCCCCCCTCCCCCACCCCCAAAAAGACTTCAGGGTGGGCCCTCATCTGGGAGTGAGCTACTTCAGAAAACAAATACTTGAGACAATCGAGGAAGGATATTCAATATAACTCACTTGTTGTCCTAGGGACAAGTTTATCCTTTACTCTAAATAAACCAACACTATGAGAACCTTCGAAGCATCAGAAGATGAAGGGTACAGTAGACCATCTCCTACATACTGGAATAATAGGAACCAGTTCTGTGGAGAGCCAAATATTTTGTAAAGGGTACAAGATTCTTTTTCTTGCAAAGGGAATTGTAGCATTCAACCCATTCAACAAATCCATACAGAGATCAAGATTCCAGGTGGAAATACAGTAGAATTTCAGAGTTATGAATACCTTAGGAATGGAGGTTGTTCATAACTCTGAAATGTTCGTAACTCTTATTGTTATGGTTGTTCTTTCAAAAGTTTACAACTGAATGACTTAATACAGCTTTGAAACTTTACTATACAGAAGAAAAATGCTGCTTTAACCATCTTAATTTAAATGAAACAAGCAAAGAAACAGTTTCCTAACCTTGTTAAATCTTTTTTTAAACTTTCCATTTGTTTTTTTTAGTAGTTTACTTTTAATGCAGTAGCGTACTGTATTTGCTTTCTGGGGGTGGAGGGGAGGTCCCTCTGCTGCTGCCTGATTGCATAGTTCTGGCTCCAAATGAGGTGTATGGTTGATGGGTCAGTTTGTAACTCTGAGGTTCTACTGTACTGAAATCCGTCATTACAGCATCATCTTCCCAAAGCTTCAGAATATGAAAATAAATCTCCTGGAGATCTACTGAACATATGATGAGGAGGAGTCATCATCCAAAGATACTTTAGATTCTGCTAGCGTAAGAAACATTTTTAATACCAAATATTCTTTTTTTATTTTTTTTTTTTGACACATTTCGACTTGGGTATTCACAAATGCTATATCATCCTTCCCTTCAAGTGAAAGATATATGTCTACTCTTGTCAGGATGACCTTCTCATTATGTCCAGGGCCCAGTAGCCACTGTTAAATCATTCAGAAACATGGCTTTGGAAAGATCAATTACAGTCTTCAAAGAACTCCAGTATGTAAGTTATATCCAAGACAATATCTATTTCAGAAAAGAGAGAAAAGAATATGGTGTCTCATTTACCAAACATTAGCACACCTCTACCAAGATAAAATATTTGACTCAGTTCCTGGGCAAGTTGATCTCATAAGTGGATACCCAGCAAAGTTATGGTTTCACTTCCAGCCAGCAACTGAAGTAAATCAATATATAAAGATCTTGGTCCAGATCCAGTACTAGAATCTTTTGGTAAATTCATTCTAAATATTATTAAAGAGATACCTGATGTCAGGTTCAGAGAGGCTGGTCCTCAGCACAGATACCAGAACTCAAGTAGGGAGAACATATCTGGATTTTTATGTGACTTTTATATGATGAGGGTGTGAATATGGCCCAAAGAAGGTGACATGGACTATGACCTGTCTCGTGACGGAAAGCAGAAGATTCTGGAGCCACTGGTTAGGTAAGTGGTGTAGTCCAGAAAGTTTTGGTTTTGTGGAACATTGGTCCACCTCTTATAGGGAAAGGGGTTGGATGGCTTCCACCTCACTAGAAGGGGGACCAATCTCCTCAGGACAGGCTGGCTAGAATAGTCATGAGGGCGCAAAACTAATATCAAAAGCGGAGGGTAAAAAGAGGGTAGGTATGAACACTCAGCACAAAATCGAGATGTTAAGAACAACATTAATCAAGAAAAAAAGGACATGAAGAGAAGAAATTCTTGAATTACCCATACACCAGTGCAAGGAGCCTGGGTAACAAACAAGAGGAATTGGAGTCATACATTTATGAGAATAAATTCGATCTAGTTAGTATTACTGAAACCTGGTATTGGATCCTTGTTATTGGAATGTTAAAATCAATTATTATAACCTATTTAGGAAGGATCAAGTGGGCTAAACGGGAGTCGGGGTGGCACTCTATGTCAAAAATGGTATTACCTGTTTCTCACTCATTGATAACTCAGAAGAAAATGATCTTAAATGTGTATGGATCAATGTCAAAATAGATAAAGCATAAGATGGGGTATTAATTGGTGTCTTTTGCAGACTGCCAAATCACATTAGGGAACACGATGACCACCTCTTTACGCATTTATCTATAATGTGTAAGGAAAAAACCTGTGTGATCATGGGGGAATTCCGTTTGAGTGACACATTTTGGAAGTCTCACGCTACTAGTACTAAAACATCCTTGGACTCTGAACATAATAGATGACAATTTCCTAACTCAAGAAGTGTTACAGCCAACACAGGGAATTCTTTATTAGACCAGGTCCTAACAGATAAAGAGTAACTGATCACAAAACTAAAAATGTTAATGGTAGCTTAGGTACAAGTGATTATGACTTGATCACTTTTATAATGTCTCTCCCCACAACTACTGAAACAACTTTCTTGGTAGTTACAGGGGTCACCAGATATGAACACTAGCTCTCAGGGAGCCTTCTCCTGTATCAGATCCTTAGCCCCAAGTCCAGGAATTGCCCCTGGATGCCCTAGAGCCCACTTGCTCATCAGTGCCCTTTCAGATACCTGAACTCTTTCTCTGGCTGATGCAGCTGCATTGGTTTCCTCTCACTCTTTCAAGCTAATTCCCAGATATACTTGTTCCATTCCTCAATCCAGGCACATGACGGCCATCCTCCACTAATTTATAACTCCTCATTCATCTGAGACACTGGGTCCTCCAGTGGGTCAACATCTGAAAAAATCTTAAATTCTGTTGTCCCTCCCCCAATGTTCCCTTTAATTTTTTACATCCATGTGCGGAATGAAATTTGTTATGTGCACCTAAGGAGATGATGTGTGGCGGGAGTGAGGCCGAGAGGTTTGGAGGGGGTTCAGGGCTGGGACAGAGGGTTGGGGTGCAAGGGTGAAGGCTCTGAGGTGGGGCCAGGGATGGAGGAGTTTGGGGTGCAGGCAGGGGTGGCTCTGTTTTTTTGCTGCCCCAAGCACGGAAGTCAGGCGGCCTGCGGGCGGTCCGCGGTCACGCAGATTTGGGGGCGTTTCTGTGGGTGAATCTGCCGGTCCCGCGGATTCGGCGTACCCGCCACCGAATTACCACCGAAACCGCAAGACCGGCGGACCTCCCGCAGGCACACCCTCACAGCGACCGGCAGGCCACCCCCCGCGGCTTCCCGCCCCAGGCACGCGCTTGCTGCGCTGGTGCCTGGAGCTGCCCCTAGGTGCAGGCTTCCCCAGGGCTGCGTCGGGGAGAGAGGACTCCCCCCAGCCCTCTCTCACCACAGCAGCCCGGGGCCGGGGGAGAGGCGCCTCCCGCCAGCTGCAGCAGTTTCAGGGCCAGGGGAGAGGTGTCTCTCACTGGCCGCGGCAGATCCGGGGTCAGGGCCAGGGGAGAGGTGCCGGCTGCAGCAGCTCTGGGTGCAGGGCCGGGGGAGAGGCACCTCTCCCCCCTGCGTGGCCCTTGATAGCCTGCTGTATGGCCATGCAGCTGCGCAGCTTAGAGGGAACTTAGTCCTCCCCCTATGAGGTCTCCCTCTAACCCCCTTTTTCTCCCTCTCCTCTGGAAATGGAGGCTTGTCCACTTGGAAAACAGAAAGCAGAAAACAAGGGTGTGAAAGTACCAAACAGTCCCAAAACCACATTGATTTGTTCTCTGGGCAACTCCTTGAGCATATCCCTAAATGCTTTATTCAGCTGTCTGATAGGAGCACTTGAAAACTGATCATATTGATGGAGAGATTGGAAGGAGGGGAAGAAGATGGTTTACTGGTTTGTGCCCACAGCTGTTTCTTCCCCTTTGAGGTAAAACTGCAGGGAATGAATGACAGCTTACACCTGTAAAGCTGGGGGTTGATGGTGGGGATAGAGCACTCCTGCCTGCAGTCAAAGCCCGCCCTGTCATGGCTGCTCCATTTTCCATCTCGCGTTGGGCAGTGTGTGCGGGTGAACGAGCAAACAGAATGCCTGCAAAGAATGTTGCTGCAGAAAGAGGAGAGTTCGAATGGTTCTTTGCTCCTTTTCCAGCTCAGCCTAAAGGTTGGGAGCACAGCTCCTTCCCTCCCTCACAGCCAATAAAAGGGCTTCTTAGACCTAGAGGAATGACCTTTGGTCCATCCTGACACCAAGCTGGGCATCCTTCCAGGTTAAAAAAATCCAAACAAACCACCAAACCCAGCTCAGCTGTCACTACTCCCTAAAATGACTAAAACCAGTTATTTTGTTTCAGTAATTAATAGTTCCAGTCAAAACATGTTTTATGTTAAAACAAAGGCCTGGTCTACACTTACCCCCCAATTCGAACTAAGGTACGCAACTTCAGCTACGTGAATAACGTAGCTGAAGTCGACATACCTTAGTTCGAACTTACCGCGGTTCAGACGCGGTCCACACGCGGCAGGCAGGCTCCCCCGTCGACTCCGCGGTACTCCTCTTGTTGAGCTGGAGTACCGCAGTCGACGGCGAGCACTTCCTGGTTCGATTTATCGCGTCCAGACCAGACGCGATAAATCGAACCCGGAACTTCGATTGCCAGCCGTCGAACTACCGCGGTAGTGTAGACCTGGCCAAAGTCTACAATAATAGAACTGCTTTGCACGGTTGTGGAAATACAGCTAAATGGCTGTATCTTTAACTTGGCGTAAGTGAAATGTTGGAGATATCTGTACTTTTTATTTTTATGGAGCTATGTTAATTTTTCTGCCTGGATTCTTGAGATTAAAATCTTATTACATTTATTTAATCCATTTGTTACCTTGACAAAAATATACTGAAAATGAATTGCTATCAGATAACGCTTTTTTCATTAATTACTAAGAAATCTGTTTCTTGGTGTAATAAGACAATGAAGTTCATGAAGTCTGATCTATGTAAAGTTCAAGCAGAATATATTTTCAGTGGTTTAGGTATAAATGATGTTTTCAGGCACTGAGCATAATCTTTCTCGTTACTGGTATGTCACATGCACTCTACTTCCATGGAAAAAACTATATTAATGTAGTGTTCAAAGTTGCAACATTAAGCACTTATTCAGGAGATGCCAATGGTAAGGTTGCATTCATAAACTTCACTTCCCCCTCTTACAGGATTCATACGTGTAGCATCTTGTAGTACTGTATACTGCCTTGTGTATACCAGACAGAGTCCAGGAAAGTAATTTATATTCAAAATTATAATAAAAATTGTAGGGTATTTTATTTATTAAATATATCTGAATACATTTTATAATACAGTAACTATAGTTACACTGTGCAGTGAAAGCAGTACTATATATACTGAATGTATACTGCAGTTACAATTTAATTACACTGCAATCATATTTTTGATAGCTACAGTTAACTACTGGGCTGATATACTTATTACCCTTTAATTAAATATTTAATACATTACCCTGTAATTACTCTGTTATACTTTTTACATATATATTCCTAATACAAGACACCTCTACCCCAATATAACTCTGTCCTTGGGAGCCAAAAAATCTTACCACGTTATAGGTGAAACCCCGTTATAGCGAACTTGCTTTGATCCACCAGAGTGCACAGCCCCGCCCCCCCAGAGTGCTGCTTTACCGCGTTATATCCAAATTCGTGTTGTATCGGGGTAGAGGTGTACTATAACCAGAAGGTTAACTACCTGGATTACATGTTATAATTACACTGTAACTGCAGTCATTTCCTGGTATCTTAACTGTATACCATATTAGGTATAATTTCATTTGACATGATCTATATTATAAAAAAAAGTCCATTTCAGAGGGAGTAATTTAAGGCAAATTTGTCTGTTTTCAAGAGTTGTCTGCTGTGTTAGTATTAAATTTGTCTGTCATATTTTCTTGCTCAAGTAAATTAGCTCATGGACAGCATTCTAAAATATCAAAAGTGACAAATAGTGATGGAATATATAAAAAGAAAAGTATGTGTGTTTCAAAAACAACTTGCTTCCCTACAATTGCTATTACACCTCTACCGCGATATAACATGAATTCAGATATAACATGGTAAAGCAGTGCTTCGGGGGGCAGCGGGGCTGCGCACTCTGGCAGATCAAAGCAAGTTCGATATGACGCGATTTCACCTATAACGCAGTATAGATTTTTTTGGCTCCCGAGGACAGCGTTATATTGGGGTAGAGGTGTATGTGAAATTGTACATGTATGATTTTGGCCAATGTACAGGTTCTGCTTAGAATGACTTTAAAGATTTCAAAGTTTAGCAGTATGTCCCAGTAGGGAACAATTGTCAGTTCTGACATTTGCTTGATGGATTTTAATTGTCTTCATGCTCCAGGCAGCTAGTTCCAGAACATTTCCTTAAACTTGCAGATGTTTTGTGCTGCCATCAGGGAAAGGAAACCTAAAATATTTATGACATTGCCTTTGTGAATTTACAAATATTTTATTCACGTAAAGCTGTATATCATCTATCTGATTTTATAGAATAAAAACCTTGAAGTATCTATTCTTTTTAAAAGATTTACCTTTCACAATTTTATTTTATGTTACTCATCCTATTTTCTTTTTTCTCAATTTCCTGGCTAATTAATTTTAATTAATATTTCTTTTATGGAAGAAATGTAAAGTTTTATTTCTGAGAGGCTCCAAGAATAGAAATAATACATGTGCAAAGAAAATTAAGTTACTTGCTTCCAGATAGATATATGGTATCTTGAAATTCTGTGTACTTTACTGTGTGTTAATTAAGCATCAGGTTCTGCCATTGGATGCCCATTTGCAACTCTTATTTGCATTGATTAATAAACTGCTGTAGGAATTTTAGTTGTGCACTCTTAATGTGCCTTAATAGAGTTTGTTGCATTTAATCATATTTTTTATTTTATATGAATCATAAAAAGACAAATTATGGGGAAATAACAAACCAAAACTCAAAAGAACAAAATGATCAACTTTCATACTATCTTCAGCCAAGATTTTTATATAACGTAAAGCAGACAACTTACATGTATTTTTCTTTGGTATTTTTTCCTTTCCTCCTCACAATATAAGGAGCTGTACATGTTTTTAATCCAATTATCTTTCAAGTCCAGCATAATATTTGCAGATTATACTGTGTATTAAATCTGTTTTCTTCCTGTTTTGAAGGCATCAAAGCTTCCAATGTCAATAATTATAGTAGGAGTTGGACCAGCAGAGTTTGATGGTAAGTGTTCTGGTATCCTGTTTTTCCTAAATTGCTTAGCCCTTCTATTTCAATAATATAATGGCTCTTCAGATAAATTCTGTGCTTTTTAAAGAACAGCATAATATAGAACAAGCTATGAACAATGTTGACGTTTCCAGCTGACTTGATGATTGATAGCTCAACATGCTTACAAGCCTGCATGTGGAGTTATTTTGCCCCTAAGGACACCTGTTCAGTTCACAAAACCATATATGGGCTCTTCATTTATAATGCTCCACAAGCTGTTATGTAAAAAGAGAAAAGCAGAGAAGTGGGTAGGATATGCTCAAGAAGTTTTGCTGAACAGATACTTAGTTATTTGTGCAGTTTCAGATGGCTGGTAGTATTGACTGTATGCTTGATCCTTCTAACTGCAGTAACCAAATAAATAAAAGAACTCTGAGTAAATTTAAGATATTATCTAGATTATATTTAATTTTCATATAATAAATGCGGTTATATTATTGTCTCTTGATTTGGCAATAGCATCGTTTAGCAACAGTGTTGGGAGAATAGTACAGTGTGAACAAAAAAGTACCAACATTTTAAAATTCTTCCAAACTTTAGAGCAGAATCCTGACCCTCGATCCCCCGACAGGTACAGAAAACCCTAAATGCACCCAAGCAACATCCAAGCTGTAGAGAGGCCACCTGAGTGGGCCTGCACTCCCCCAGCATTCTACAAAGCTATATTCTGTGGCAGGTATCAGCACTTCAACATAGAGCTCACAGGGAAGAGCAAGAAGTGTCAAGTTGGTCTACAGACATGAGACCTATTGAACATCATCCCTTGACTCCTTAGAGAGGTGGAGAATGGGGGCTACAGTTACTACTGCATCCCTGAGGTTGCAGTTGTAGCTCCAGAAAATGTTGACCTATATTTAGGCTTAGCAGAACTCGATTGTTACTTTTTTTTGTATAATTTTAACAGATAATATCAATGTTTGTTTTTAAGCATTTTTTTTCCTGTTATATCAGTTATATTTTCACTGTTGCATAGAATTATGGGGTTTATGCATTTTTTTTTCTTGTTTTATCTATTTGAATTTTCAGACTTGCAGTAAATTAGAGGATGGTCAGACAAATGGTTGCGGTCAGGCAATAATTATTCAATGACAGTAGATGTTGAGATTCAAAAAGTTAAAGCTTTATAACCATTAAAATACAAATTGTCAATATCAGATATCAAAATATGCAAAGTAAACATCCTTAAATCAAATGTTAATATGTTCTCAAGCAACATTTTTCTTTACCTATCTGTAAATTTTGATTATTATCAATGGAAGTATTATTTTTATTTGGTTTGTGTGTGTGTGTGTGTGATGAAATTGACATTTATCTATTAAAACAACCTAGACCTTCCATGCCTGCCCATATTTGTATAAAATGGATATGTTTTCATTTGTCTTCAAGCAAAAAGAAGTCATACTTGCAATATCTACAATACATAAAAAGTATGGCAAGGTTAAAAAGTGACCATCATTAATAGAGAATAGAACTTGCAGTTCATGTACTTATAATTGTCTGTCATAGGATCAAAGTAATAGCCCTACTGGATCAGTCCAATGGTCCAGTTAGTGCCATATCTATCTTAAATTGTAACCGGTACCAGCTGCATTAGTGAAAGGTACAAGAAACTCTGAAGTGGCCAATAATGAAATAACCTGCCCATAGGAGATTTTGTCCTCAACCTTTCAATTAGAGGTTGTCTTATACCTGAGAAAGAAAAAAATAAACCTAGGACTCAGATCCAGTGATGAAACAACAGAAAAGATCACCATGAATAAAAAAACTAAAGAAATAGGGATCAGTAGGATAAGATACGTACTATCAAGTTTCACCCAAACTGAGTGTCCAGAATTAAACAAATCCATTTTTTCCTCCATGCCAATCCTGGAAACACTGATACCATCATGCCCTGCAGGAGTTGCAATCCCCATGCACCTTACAAAAGATATGGCAATGATGAATACCTGATTGTCCACATGTGAACTAACAGGAAACATTACACATTTTTATATTTTCTTTTAATCACTAATGCAAAATTTGCTATGAATCTTGAAAAGGGCTTCCTGATATTAGGTGGGGCTGGGGGTTAGACCAACTTTAAAAGGAGGATGTATTGTAGCAGAGCACTGATAGGCTATTCTGTTAGGAGAGGGAGCATCTTTCTGTCCTGAACTGGAGGAAACTAAGTATTTGTCTTCATTCAGAGTTCCTAAACATGGGGGAGGGGGAGAGTGGAAAACAAGAGACTCCTATAAATCTTCTGCTTTTAACTAGCCAGCAAATGACTCTCCAGAGCATTTTCTCCCCAGAAAAGAACTTGGGAATCAGTTACAGAACTACAGGCAGTTCTCTCAAACAGACCCCTCAAACTTAAATAAAATTTACAGCTATGAGTAAAAAATGATAATCCAATGGTGTGGGCTGATCAGAGGATAAAACTAGAGCTGTCCAAAACTTGGGTTTTCTAGTTAGGGAGAAATTGATAGTTCAGAGATGGGATTAATTTCAAATCAGACCAAAATCAAAATTTCTCATGAAATCCCCAAAAAACACTGGAAACACCAGCACATGGTGTTTCCCAAACAAAATATGTCTCCCAAGACCAGCAGCTCTGACTGAGATTGACACTATCAGTTTCACCATTATCATCAGCCGTGGAACTTACAAGAATGTCAGTTTCAGTCAGTAGCTGCTGGGCTCCCAGAGTCTATGGCTCTGGGGCAGACACACTATACAGACTGCCCAGGCTGCAGATCCCAAGGCTTCCAAACACCTCGGCCAGCTGGCTCTCTAGGCTGCCCACTTGGGATTTGGGCAGCACAGGGAGCCAGCTAGCCCAGGCATCTGGAAGCCCTGAGTCCAGGGCTCAGGGCAGTCCACATGGCAAGCCTGCCACAGATCCTGGGAGCCCACCCTAGGCATCTCAGCTCAGCAGCCAGGGGTCAAGAGCCTCTAGGGTTTCCAGGCTTCCAGCTCCACAGAAGTCCATGTGGTAAAGCTATCACAGACCCTGGTAAGGCTACCACAGACCCTGGTAGCTGGGAATCCTTGGTCCCAGGACAGTCCATATGGTGGAGCTGCGGACCCTGGAAGCTGTGGGGCAGTCCACAGGGTAGGTCTGCCTCAGAGCCACAGACCCTGGAAGCCCAGGTTCCCTGGTCCTGGGGCAGTCTGCATGGTGGGGCTGCTTTGTTGCTATAGTACGTGGAAGACCAGGGTCCCCAGTCCCAGGGCAGCAGTCTACATGGTAGGCTTCTCCTGGAGCCTTGTCTCTAGAAGCCCACGGGCCCCAGCAACCCACTAGGTGAGTTGGTAGGGAACCTTGCAAGGTTCAACAGAACACTGTCTGTGAATGAGCAAAAGTTCACTGAACTGGACTTGCTTCTGTAAGACATTTCAGGTTTGAAGAATAGGACATTTCCTTTCAACCAGTTCTAGATAGAACAACTTGCAAACCAAATTATAGCCAGAAAGTTGAGCATTTTAAAGACTTCAGAATATGGTGCATCTCATTAAAAATATAACACTTGTACAATTAGCTTTGAATCAGTTTTTTCAATCCATCTACGTAGAATAGATGTGATACCACAAAACTCTAACTTGGAGCTCAATTCAGTGGGTAGCACAAAGATCACAACACTTTCTGATGTCTTCTGGAAATAGTTTACAAAAAAAAGTAACTTATGGTTGAAGGCAAAAAACTTCTAAACTTCCTAGACTTTAGATCCTTTTTGTAAATGATTTTCTTCTGTGCTGGGTCATAGTACTAATCACTTACGATATTTCTACTTCAGTTTTGTTATTAGCTAAGCTTCAGGTGATATATACAGCAGTGATAGCCTCAGCAATGAAACTGATGGAAAAAATCAAAAAGGAAAAAATGAATGTCTGAGGAATCAGAGGCAATGGATTTGCACAGGTGTCACTTAGAGCAGATTTTGACCTGCAGAACTCTTATTACTGGTTCTGATGCACAAGAAAGAAAAAAAAATCAAACTTCTATTTATATTCCAGGTTAAGTTCATGGGGAGAAAAAAATTTACTTGTAAACTAAGCACATTCGCTCTCGAAATCATTGAGAGACCATAAAAATGTGGTGTCATTTTTAGTCACTTTTTAGAATAGAAAATCACTTTAGTTTTTCTAGTTCTATACATGTTGGGGTATGATTGTTTATTAATGTGCTGTAGATATTCACATGCAAATCAGTTATGCCCTGTCAAATTAAAAAAATTATGTAAACACTGAACAAATTCCTTACCTAAAGTGTTACATGATCAATTTACTATCATAATCTTCAAGAGTTTGTTACTACTAGACAGTGACAGTCATTACATTTCCAGATGCAAGTTTGAATCACTCCTGCCTCATGCCATACCAAAAGATGTCAAAGGCTAAGGAAAAAGGTTTCTTTACCTGGGGAGAAATAGAGAATAGTTGTGAAATTTATTTTACTGATAAAGTGCAGTTAACTGAAGGAATGGGAGTTAGAAGAGAGTCCCACACTCAAATCTGGGTATAAGGCTACAGTGCTGTTTCCATGTTACTGCTACTCCAGTTTATAGACTACAGCTCTAGAGTGGGGTAGGATTTAAATTATCCAAAAAGTTTTGTACTGGCTTTCCATACCAGGGTTTATTTTGTGCTAAAGAAGTAAATAAAATTATAAATACAAGAAACAAATTGTTCTGTGAATGGTAGGAGGGTGCAAATTAACTGTTGTACCTTATACATTTTGTATAAAGGAGGATCTTAAGAGATGCCTTAAATTAATAGAAAGGAAGGCTTTTTGTTGCTCTGGGTTCAGAAGGATCTAAAGTTTCTTTTTAATAAAATAGTTTTGTTGGGTGGCTGAAATGGCAAGTGGATAAACTACTTTTTTTTTTTAAGCTATGGAAGAATTGGATGGTGATGTAGTCAGAGTCTCCTCAAGAGGAAAATATGCAGAAAGGGATATTGTACAGGTGAGAGAAAAATTATTATTAATGTGCATTGATAAAAGTAAACATAGTTCAAATTGAAGTATTTTGTATGTACTAGGAATATTGATATATAAAATTTAAGAATGCATTAGATATTAGCTGATAATGCGTTTCCCATTGAACAAAGTGTTCAAAACAAGTATGCACCACCTAGTATCGTAATTCATGTTAATAATTCAGTTATTATTTAGAGATGAAATCAAGACAAGCAAGTCTGAGTAACTACATGATACATTAGAATTAATAATGACCTTTTATCTGTTTTAGCCTCACAATATAGTATTGTACTAACATTTGTCTTTCCGCTTTTTTCCTGATTAACAGGGAACACTTCCGTAGGAATGAGTACTCATTCTTTACTCATCTTTAAAGACAAACAGAAGTCAAACTACACTTGGACTCTGTAACACTATACATAGGGCCCTACCAAATTCATTGTCCATTATGGTCAATTTCATGGCCATAGGATTTGAAAATTGGTAAATTTCATGTTTTCAGATATTTAAATCTGAAATTTCACGGTGTTGTATCCGTGGGGGTCCTGACCCAAAAGGGGATTGTGGGATTGGGGGTCACAAACCTGTTATGGGGGGATCATAAGATTGTCACCCTCATTTCTGTGCTGACTTCAGAGCTGGACTCTGAAGACAGCAACCTCCTGCAGCTGCAAGAGGTTCCTGCAGGTGGACGTGGGTCTGATCTCCCCCGGGCTGCTGGGAGTGCCCCAGCCAGGGGCTCCTAGCGGCTAGTCTTGGCCAGCTTGGGAGGGACAAGACTTGCTCTTCCTCTGCATGTCTGCTCTTGGGTACGTCTCCCAGCTGCAGAAAGCTCCGCACACCTCACCCCAACACACACACTGCTTGCCCCCATTGCCCTGCAACCGCAGGGGGAGGGGTCACTGTACAGGGTGTGCCCCCCGTTCCAGATGCAATTTTATTAGTGTGTTTCAATAAAATAAAGACAGCTCATGTGAACTTGATAGGATTTATTGATAGACACTTTGCAGCAACAAACAACACTAAGGACTCAACTCCCTGATTGGTAGATACGGGCATCTGAGACAGTTTTGTAGGGTAGTGATCTCAATTGGTAGCCTCAAACTTGAGAGCCACAGCCTTAAGTTAACAAAAACACATGGGGAAAAAAAAGTTCTTGTTTCAAATGGCATTAATTGAATGTCACCATGGAGCATCCAGCAACCGTGCCTTTCTTCATTCCCTGTCTCTGTGCTGAAACCACCTGTCCTTGTTTAAACACTGCTCTCTCTGCATCTATGGAGTTCATTGGAATCGTCCGACAGTGCCGAACTAGCCTTGCAAGATGGGGGATTCTGCCTTCCGCTGAGTTCCAAAACTGTAGCACAGGCAAACTACACACCCCTTCTTTTGCAATATTTTTGTAAGCAGGCAGCTCCTGCCTACAGTTTTATCAAAGCCAGGAATTGCATTAAGCAAAGTTAAATCTACTAGCACCAGGTGCATTTTTGCAGGGTCAAAAATATGCACTGCTTTTAGGAACCCTGCTGCAGGTTGTTGAAACTTTTGAGCCATTTTTGCTACATTGCTGGACTCTTCCCCATGGTAGTAGAATTGTCTGAGTAGAATTGCCATGCAAGAAAACATCTGCTGAGCACTGGCATTTAACTCAGCAGTATCAGCGTGATTTTCGTTTGACTGTGCTTCAGCCCAGACCACTACATCCATTACTTTGTTGTACACTTAGTGGATTGTGACATGTTGAGAGTCAAACCAAGTGATTAAGTCCATGAGTCCTGTGGCATTTTTGGCAACAAACTGAACTTCCTCATTGAGCTGAGCATCGTTTAGAAGTGTTGACATTCTGTTAATACCTGTGTTTTCGGTGTCACTGTCAGCTCTTCTGAGACAAACTCAGAGTAGTACTTCAGGTGAGCTGCATGGTACTGTACAGCCCGAAACCAGGAATTCCAACGAGTAATTACTGGCACTGCAGGAAGTGCAATTTTTTGTTCTCCAATTTCAATCATTTCAGTCGTGTTTGCAACTTGCTGCCTGTATTGAAGTTTGTGGCTAGGGCAAAGTTTAAACATCTTTTTAATGTACTTGACCAGTTTATCAACTTTACCAAACTCACATCTCCACAGCTCACTGAAAAGAGAAATTATATGTGCGTTACATGTAATATGGACAGCATTAGACCTTGGAGAACCAATTTGAAAGATTTCATCATGTAAGTTGCATTGTCGCTTATGAAAGCAGATACTTTGTCTGAGTTCGCACTATATTTAAAAACTTTTAATTATTGCTTGAGAAACTAGTGTAGTTAACAGCATCCAAATAAATGCAGTCGGCGAACACTGTTAGCTTTCCTGTCTATACATCTTTGGCCTTGTCAGAAATAAAATCAAACAGAACATGCAGTACATAGTTGTCTTGCTCATCTGTGGACTCATCCAAAATAATTACAAAAGACTCACATGAGTTAATTGGAGACTTCATCTCCTCAAAATGTGTAGCAAAAACCTTTGGAAGGTAGTTCTGTCATAGCTTATTAGCACTTGGTAAGCAACCACATTTTGTACATTCCGTTGAATGAATTCATACAGCTTTGGGTGATCAGGTTTTTTCAATGGTATATTAGCACTTGCCAATGCATCCACAAGTTCCATTCTAGCTAAATGACAGATCTCGGAGTTCTGTCATCTTCTTAAAAAGAGAAGAAATTTGTTTTTTGTTTTTTTAACTTTTAATTTACCAGCAATTCACTATCTGCAGCCCTCTTTCTGCTTTGATGGGTTTCCGAGTCTAATTGGCGCTGAACTGTTGCCCAACATGTGTGAGCCAATGAAACATTGCAGCTTGTACAAAATAGTGTCACCATTGGCATGTAGAGTTTGGCTTCCTAATTCTTTCACCCGATCCACTGCAGTAATCATTTTTTATTTACTTTGGACACTCATTTTACAGTAGTTGCATGTGTCTTCTGGTAGACAGTCAATTGAGACCACTACAAAACCTCCCTAATGTCCATATCTACCAATCAATGAGTTGAGCCCTGTGTGCGATTTGCTGCTGTAAAGTGTCAATCAAAAAATTCTGTCAAGTGCCTCACTTTTTATTTTTCTTGAAATAAGCTAATAATTGCACCAGGAAAGGCGGGGGCGGGGAGTTCCCTGTACAACGTCCCCTCCCCAGGCAGCTGCAAAGGGAGGGGGACAGGAAGCGATTGGGGAGGAAGAGGTGCGGAGCTATCTGCAGCCGGGAGAGATACCCAAGAGCAAGTCCTGTCCCTCCTCCAGTCCAGCCAGAGCTAGGAGCCCCCTTTGGTGGGGAACTCCCAGCAGCACAGTGAAGATCAGATCCAACTCCACAAGCCGCCTCCAGCTGCAGGAATCTCTGGGGGTGTTGCCCAGTCCCAGAGTGTCCTGCAGTAGGGGGAGGCACCCAGAGGTGGGTCTGGTCTCCCCCTCATCCCAGAGCAGCTGTACAGGGGATGGGCAAGTCCTGTCCCTTCCCAGGCCAGCTGGAGCTAGGAGCCCCCTTGCTGGGGCACTCCCAGCAGCAGGGGGAAGATCGGACCCACCTCCACAAGTCTCCTCTAGCTGCAGGAACCTCTGGGGCTGTTGTCCAGTTCCAGAGCATCCTGCAGCAGGGCGGTGGGGGCATCCGGAGGTGGGTCTGGTTTCCCCGCTGCCACAGAGCGGCTGCACAGGGGATGGACAAGTCCTGTCCCTCCCCAGGCCAGCTGGAGCTAGGAGCCCCCTTTGCTGGGGCGCTCCTAGGAACAAGGGGAGATTGGATTTCACAGCGAAGGGCTTATTTCACGGTCTGTGGCACATTTTTCACGGCCATGAAATTGATAGGTACCCTAACTATACATGTGAAAGTAACAAAGCTTTCTTCTTTGAGTCAAGTACATTGTACACGTCCATTCCTCTGTAGGTATGTACACGCCTCATGCACAGTTGTCAGAGATTTTTTCCTCAGCAGTACCTGTTGGGGCAGTGTGAGCCTCCTCCAGTGCCCCTGACGCCCCTCAGTTCCTTCCTTCCACCAGTGACGATTGTTGGAGCTCCAATCTTTGCATCTGCAAGTCTTACCTCAGTAGTACCTGTAGAGTTAGTTTTTAGTCTACTGTAATGTATTTGTATAGATTTAGATATAAGAATAAGTTTAGGATAATCCTATTATAGAAAATTACTAACAGTTTCCAGTTGGGTACCAGGCTGTACTAGACTAAACACCTTATTCTCCTGGCTTCAAGGCCCGTCACTCGTGTAACAAGTCTATGCCTGTGAGTGACCCACACCTCAGGTGCCTTAAGTATCTGGGAAAGGTGCATGTGAGTGACAAATGTAACATTTGTAGGAGATTCAAACCTTGATCAGAAAAGGACAGGGCTGCAAGACTCAAGTACCTACTTATGCAGTTTGCACTTCATCCACCATGGGAACCTTCCCGCTCAGAACGGGTACTGAGCATGTCCAATTCAGCTAGAAGTGCTCGCCCTGTTCTGAGTTCAGAGGCAGAGCCTAGTCACAGGTACCCAAGAAGAGAAAACGTAAGTTTCCCAAACACTGAGTAATGGGGCCTTTGAAGTCTACAGTGAAGGCACTAAGCCGAGGTTAGGACTTGGAGGTGCACTCAAAGAAGAGGCACCCCCAGACACAGTCAGTAAGCCAGGATGGAGTGCTGACTCCAGAGCCCAAGATGGGTCCATTGAAACCAATCCCTGAGGGATCAGTGCACCTTTCAGTACCTCAGACTCAGGAGCCCATTCCAGTGCAGTTTGCACCTGAGACTTTGGAGGCAGCCAGAGAGTTGCTTAACCTGTCAATACCAGTTTCCCCTGCTGTTCAGGAATCTCACTCAGTGCCGGGATTGGAAGAAATGCACGCTTCCACAGTCCCGGCTCCAACCCCAGTGTACTGTTTAGTACAGGTGACTTCTACAGTTGCAGCCTCTCTCAATAGATTCTATGTAGAAGGAAGCTAGCAACGTTCT